TTGAGGCCGGAAAGCCGGCGCCGGTTGGCCGCGCTCCCACCCGCCGCAGCGGCAGCAGCCGGTTCGGGTTCACCACCGCCAGGCCCGTGCCCAGCCGCCCCCGCCCCCCCGCCGGTTCCCAGCGCCACGTGACTACAGAAGCTGCCGAGGGTTCATTTTCGGGCTCCGGCCGGCGGCCGCGGCCGAAGGAAGGAAGGAAGGGAGGAAGGGAGGAAGGAAGGAAGGAGCGGTTCGGCCGGGCAGCGCGCCCCCGTAAAGTGGGGGCCTTCGGGGGCCCCCAGGGCCCCCCTCGCGGCCGGGCGGGGGGAGGCGGCCGAGGGCCGACTCCGTTGCCATGGCGACCACCGCCGGCTGTTCCGGATCGGGCCCGGCTCCAGTTTCCCGGCCCTTTGTCCCCAAGGAGGACGCGCGTCCCAGAGCGACCGCGTGGCTGGACTGGTCATTCGGCGGGACCCGGCCTCGGCCTCGTGGGCTTCCCACGGCTCCCAGCTCGCCCCAGCCTCTCCCTCGGGCACCCCCGCCCCGGCCACGCCCTCGCTCTCGGGCCGCCTTGACCTTGGCCGCGGGGTCTGAGCCGCGCCGACCGCCACTCAAGAGTCTGTGCAGAAGCGGAGGCAGAAGACGCCGATGGCGTGAACTGTGGAAAGGAACGCCCTCTGTTCCAGAGAAGAGCGAGGAGAGGAGAGGAGAGGAGCTGCGTCGTCCGCGGCCGCGGGCGGGGGGCCGTTCGCGCTTCGGGGCCTCCGTTTGGAAACACGGGGCAGCAGGTTGGCGAGCGCGGAGGCAGGTGCGAGCCTGCGCCGCTGACTCACCCGCGAGCAGGTGGCCTTCGCTTTCCACACAAACACTGCCTGAGTTTTCCAGGCTCCTGCAGTCTCATGCTTTCCAACAAAGGCCATTTTTAATTGTACCAATATCTGAAACACTTTAAAAATCTGTCCCATAAGTAGGAAGAAGAATATAAAATCTCTCATACCAGAGTGAGTTACATTTAATATTTTGGTATGTGCCCTCCAACGCTTTTCTATGCTTATCTGTGCATATTGGACATAATTGGGATAATGCTTTTGCAAAGATGTATTCTGCCCTTTTCACTTAACACTACTATGAATCCCACCCCCCACCCCCCATTTTATAACATGATTCTTAACGGCAGCATAAATGTACGGATAAATTGTTCAAATTTTTCTGTTTTTCTATGTCATTATAGATTCGTCTCTCATGTCTCAGGCTCTATGAAGATGCCCAAGTATTGTTTCGGAGCAGCTCTGTGTCTGCAAGAGGGAACAGTCCATCCACCTCTTGGAAACAGACTGTTTCAGGCCCCGTTCATACACCCAACAAATATTTAATCAGTGCGCACCATCTGCCATGGCGCCAGGTGCAGGCCTGACTGTGAGCCAGGCAGAAACGGCCCACAATGCCTTCTAACCCTGGGTTAGCGATGGCAGTGTCTCGGGTTAGTACATAAAGTGAAATAAAACCAAATGCTCGTTGACAGTTGCTGAGTGGATGACTGTTGAAAAGCTAGAGGCGACTAGGGAACAGAGAGAAGAGAGGAAAACTTCATTCTAACGGGACTTACCTTATTGTCAGCTCCTGCTGCAGACAGCATCCTGAAGGCCGGTTGGGGGACTCGCCGAGCGTCTTCCAGGTGTTTCCAGGCAGCGTGGGAAGGAGGAAGAAAGCACCTGCGACCACGTTCACCTTGACGAAGGCCACCTCTGCTGGGAGGGCCTCGCACTGGCACCGTCACTGTGCATCCTCCATTCCTAGAGCCGCCTCAGCCCGGGGACCTGGAGAGACAGCAGCCCAGGCACACCCTGAGCAAGGCCCTGACTGCCCAAGGCTGGCATCTCAGGTGAGAGCAGGCTCGCTAGGTCATGTGGAAACCCTTCAGGAAAAGATCAGTGTGCTTCTGCTGCTGCAGTCCTAAGAATGTCCTTAAAGGCACAACACACAGAGTGCCTGGCAAGGATGGACCCTGGAGGAGCAGCCCTCCACTGGGATCGAATGCCAGCCCGAACTCTGCAGCACCAGACACTTTCTGCTGCAGATCGAGTTCCCGGAGTCTGTTTTCCTAAAAGGAAAAGAACTTAATTGGTCAGAAGGAAACCAAGGAGGGATCGCAGATTTCCTGTACCAGCACCAGGGTCGCGAGGCCCTGCTCACCACTTCTCACCTTTCTCCACGTGCACTGCTCCCACCTGGCCCCGCACAGCTGCCCTGGAGCTCGGTCTCCCGGACCAGGTTAACCCTTTGAAACATAGATCAGGTGGCGTACGTCACATTTTGAAAACATCACAAACCACTGCCACAGCCTCTCAGGCTCTATCTGGCCTGACCATGCCTACCTCTCTAGCTCCCTGCCCTCGGGGTCCTGGTGGCCACTGTCCCAGCCTCAACAGCTCATGCCCCCCATAGGGCCTTTGGAGTTGATGTTCGGTCTGCCCACGATGCTCTTCCTCCAGAACTTTACTTTATTCAGGTTAGAGTCCAAATATCCTCTCCTCAAAACGTGCACCTCCCACCTGTGGTTACTTACTTGAAATTATTTAGGCATCTGTTCATTTAGATGGTTTGTCTAGTTAGCTACCACAACCAGGGCCTGGATAGCCAGGCCCTGGAAAGGTGTCAGGCCCATGGTGGGTACCCAGTGTTTGTGGACCAAGTGAGCGAGGAGATGAACGAGCTTGACCCCTTGGGTAAGTGAATTTGACTAGACCACACGACGCTGCCTAAGAAGCAGCCTGAGCCCAGTGTGTACCTCAAACTCTCCCTTGGCTGCTGCTTGTTGAGCAGGTGTTGGGAGCCCCGCAGAACTGCTGGTTCAAATCAGTATGTGAACGAGGTAAAGAGCAAGAAACTCAGAAGAAAACTTGAGTCTATAACTCTCTCATTTGAAGGACTCATTGTTGGAGGCAGTGCCTTAAACATAGTCTTCCATCTGGAACACTATTCCAGAATAACTGGAATGCAGGGTCCTTTAGGGAGCCCGTGGCTCCTCCGGGGGAGGAGGGCGCTCCCCTCCCCGGCAATGACGTTTACCACCACCCTGGTCTTAGGACCAGACATTGCAAGAAAATGCTGGACAAATCCTCCCGGTGCCTCAGGGAAGAAAGGTTTGACTTTACCTAGAAATCTACATTTATACCCTTTCAAGGTCTAATCCCATCTATTATTACAATGCTATGTCTTGTTCAACTCCAGACTGGGATCAAATTATATCTTTTTCAACTTAATTAAAAAGATGAATTTAGAAGCCAGTGTGTAACTGTTCTTGGTTTAAAATCTACTAAACACCAAGCTTGATTTGGAAACACAAGGAAATTCTAACAGAATCTCCACAGTCTTTGTAGTTTAGCAGAAGCGGGTATATTTTCAAGTGTCTTGTGTCCTGTGAGTGGCGTGTACTGTTGGAAAGCCATCTGTCCATGTTCACCACCAACAAAAATGCTGTCTCTAACCTTGGCTCATTCCTATCCAGACTCCTCTCCAATAAAACCACTCAGGGACTTGGAGGGATCAGAGTGTGAACCTGGCTTTTACTTGGTGCCTTCTAACAGGTTCCAAGACCAAATCTGGGTCACAGTTAAATTTGTTGCCTTCAGAGTTGGCCAGTGAAGTCTCAGTATTCTCAGAATTGGTTAACTTTCAATGTATTACAAATGAGTTGTCTCTTAACAGTATTTATGGTTTATTTTGTGGGTGTTATTCTAAATTCCAACAATATAGCATGTTGACTACATAATAACAGTCTATAACATTACTACATTCAATAAATAATATACTAAGTAAAATGAACATTTTTGAAGCTTGAAAATGCTTCATTTCCTAAGCATCTTCCACTGGCTGAGGTGCTGCTCATTATCCAAGCCTGTGCGGGTCCTCAGCTCTAACAAACATGCATCTGGGTATAAAACCGTTGCAACAAATTGGCATGACTTATCGGTCAAATGCAGTTAAGAGAAGTTCTTAGGGTTAAACCAGGAGTCAAAAAATGATCACAGGTGACCACAAGAATGTAAGAAAAATAATTCCACAGCCTTAGGGAATTCCTACCAGTCAGTTTAAAGGACCTAGCTGATGCTCACTGTTTCCATCTAGTGGTAGGTCTTCGAGTGAGATTTGAGGAGCTCATGGGGTCTGCGAGAGACTTTTAGCTTAGTTATTTGCCTCCTGGCCACTTTGATTTGGGAAAATATTTTTCACTCATGAAAGTGACTTCTTAAATGTATTTAATAAATGTGAAAGTTCCTTTGATTCGTTTGCCGAATTTCCTTGAAAGAGCACAAATTCTAAAATGTAAATATTACGTTGTTATTGTCAAGGTGCATCTGTTACCAGACCGGGTCTGGGCCTGGAGTGGGTCGGCCTTGGGCCCACTGTTAGTGTGTGGGTCCTTGACTTTGTGTAGACAAGATTTCCCAACACGAGTCCAGGTGATTTTGAGAGTCTGTTTATAAAACTGGAGATAGTGAAACAAAGGAAGGGCTTAACACGTTAAGCGCCATGTAAGTCACCATTGACTGACACTCTACTTTCCATCCTAACCTCCTCAATCTCCGGCCGCCAGCATATCGGTGAAATCAGATATCACGGGCTAAACGGAAAGGAAGACAGAACAGGCTTGGCGATGGCAGGGAGCCTCGGCTGGGTCGCTTTGGCTTCTAAGAAATAAAAGTCACAGCAAAAGAAATGAGCTCACTGGGGTCCGAGAAAACGGGGGCCTTGGACACAGGTTCGGGGTAAGCCCAGGACGAGTTGCCACTGCCCACTGCTCCCCTAGTTGAAGTATCCTGGGGTCCCTGAGAGTCTAGGAGAAAAACAGCAGAGAAACAAGGTGTGGGTGTGCTTTAGTGAGAGCAAACAGGGGTCCTTTGTCTGAGGCTTTTTATCTTTGGCTGGAGTCCCCGTGGGAGTCTCAGGGGAGGATCTTAACAGAATGTTTATTAGCTTTTCAGGTGTGTCCTTTAAAATGTTGATTAATCAAAATGTGTGTATAGAGCCCTGGCCAGTGTGGCTCTGTGGGTTGGAACATCATCCTGTACTCCAAAAGGTGGCCAGTTCAAGTCCCGATCCATGTTTCTCTCTCTAAAATCAACTTTTTAAAAATGTGCACATAGAGGGTCAGGGGTTATTTTCTGTTAGTTTAATTTTAAAGAATGTCATCAATTGAAGAAGGACCAGGACCTAGGACATTCTGTCCCAGGACGGTCTCGAATGGGAAAACCATTTGTTCCTAAGTGTCCTTGGTTAGGGGATAGAAAACCTTGTGATTCCTTAGCTGACTGTAAGTTGCTCAAATAGTTTGGCCTTATTTAATTATTTTGGGGGTTTCATGTTGTTATTTAATTATTTTGTCTCAGTTTCCCTTATTCCACTTCTCTAGGAATTCCCCTAGCTTCTTACTATCCTGCCTCACATCTATTGAAATCCAAATTTCAGTTTCTGCCACACTAAAACATTAAAAATGGCATCCTGACTTTGTATCTTTTTTGAAGATAAATGATAGGATGTAAACATTTATTCTCAATAAGGCAAACATTTTTGACTTAATATTAGTCATCTTAACCATGTTCGTTTGGCTCACAAAGCACCTGATCAGTGTGTCACACGGACAAAACCTTGGCTTTTCAAATAATCAGGTTGAGTGCATAGCACCAGGTCTTCAGAAAGGGTTTCCTCTGTGTGTGTATGAGTCTGTCAGGGCTGCCATTACGGAGGACCACACACTGAGTGGCTTAAACTACAGGAATGTATTCTCTCACAATTCTGGAGGCCAGAAGTCTGAGGTGAATGTGCCAGTAGGGTTGGTTCTTCTGAGGCCTGTCTCCTTGGCGTATTAATGGTGGAGTTCTCCCTGTGACCGCACATGGTCTTCCCTCTGTCCGTATCCTAACCTCTTCTTGTAAGGAGACCAGTCATATTGGTTTGGAACCCGTCCATATGGCCTCATTTTACCTTAGTTACCTCTTTTAAGCCCATAGCTCCAAATACAGTCACATGCTGAGGTGCCAGGAGTTAGGCTTCAACATATGAATGTTCCTTTTTAAGTCACCCACAGACTCTGGCTAAACACGTGATCATACAATGTTGTTATCCCTATTCCCTTCTATAACTTCGTTAAAACGACAGTAAAAGAATAAAAGCTGTAAGTTCACAAGGAGAAGGACAATGGGAGAGGAGACAACAGAGGATGAGACACTGACATGTGTTTTTTATTAAATATATTTTTACTGATTTCAGGGAGGAAGTGAAAGGGAGAGAGAGATAAAAACATCAATGATGAGAATCAATGATTGGCTGCCTCCTGCACACCCCCTACTGGGGATTGAGCCCTCAACCTGGGCATATGCTCCTGACTGGAATCGAACCTGGGACTCTTTAGTCCACAGGCCGATGCTCCATCCACTGGGCCAAACCAGCTAGGGCCACATGACATGTTTTTTTTTTGTTTGTTTGTTTGTTTTTATATCAACATGATTTATCAGTGTTGATATTGTACTCTTTATTTTATTTTTTAATATATTTTATTGATTTTTTTACAGAGAGGAGGGGAGAGGGATAGAGAGTTAGAAACATCGATCAGCTGCCTCCTGCACACCCCCTACTGGGGATGTGCCCGCAACCAAGGTACATGCCCTTGACCGGAATGGAACCTGGGACCCTTCAGTCCGCAGGCCGACGCTCTATCCACTGAGCCAAACCAGCTAGGGCCACATGACATGTTTTATAAGATAGTGCAGAAGGTATGGTGGTAACTGAACAGAGTTCCTACGGGGTGGGTGATCTGTGGGAGCAAGAGGCATCCTCTGAACCCTGAGGAGTCTCTGAACCAGAAGGCACCAGGTGCACGGGAGACAGGAGCGAGGCTGGGGACATAGGAGGAACATCCCAGCCCT